ACTAGTCCTTGGGGCTCCGCCATGAAAGTATCGAATTATCTGTCACTTAATACTGCTCTAACTATTAAGGCTCCGGTATTACCTTGGAGTCTGAGGGCACAACCGATTCTGCCAAAGCCTAGGCACTGCTCATTGCAGAAGTCACACAGGCCAACAGTTGAGGGTTGAACTGGGAGTGCAGGGAGTTTTCAATCTAAGCTAGGGTGGAAATAGGGCGATTTGGGTTCCACATAGCAGCACAGCAGCTATCGATTCAAATCCCCCCGAAGCCCTGGCTTTACTATTCGGTGCTTCTATCTTTGGCCCGTTTCGAGGGCGGTAGGTTACACGGCTCTACACGGGGTTTAGTGTCTGTCTGATAAAGGCCCAGGATTGGGTTCTTCCCCGGAACTCTCTGAGACTAATGCACTATCACTCGACTGTCGGAAAAACACCCGACATCTAGCAGACTCGGTAGCAAACTCTGGAAGGCTCTGGCCTTTATTAGGTCTAGGTTTCTTTACGCTTTCTTCGAGTGTTAAAGAGTTTGTGCGCTTAGGGTTGAGGGTTCATGGCTTCTTTATCACGTGGTAGGTTCCAATCAAAGGCTGATGTAGGGTTTAGGGTTTCAGGGTGTAGAGTGTGGATCGGAGAACGGAACAATTGGCTGTGGAATCGGATCACGTCAAGGGGGTCTTGGGTGTAATGTGGACCTTGGGATATCCAACCCCATGTCTTTAAGGGCGCGGGCTTATGATCCCAGTGAAAACCCTCATAGCGGGAAAAGGCTTTCTCAGTCAGATGTTTTGTCGAGTCTGCTATATATATATATATATATATATATATATATGTATATATATGTATATATATATATATATATATATGTATATATATATATATGTATAGATATACTAGATATAGTAGATATAGATAGATAGACATGGGTACAAGCTAGAACAGAGCTGTGTTTCCTGTGAATTTTTTAGGGGGGGGTCTACACGACTTGGAAGTTTCCCTGAAGAGGCCTGGACAAGAGCGTTCGGTGCGGACCCACAACAAGCAGGCAAAGATAGGTGGCTGACAGCGCCGTGGCCCGGAAAAGGGTTTGGGGTCTCGGGTGATAGAGCTCCAGGATCCATAGCCGAAGCCAGAAGTCTAATGTAGGGGCCTTAATAACTACTTACACTATTTTGGGGGTTCCTTGCTATAGGTATAGTATACTCAATGGGCCCCGGAACCCTATTCTAATTATTAAGGCCCCTGTGGTATTCGGGTGTAGGGTTTCAGGTTTAGGGAACTTCAAGAACGTGAGGTCTTGAGTGGGGATCGGTCTGCTCTGAAAAAGAAGGGGTTGTGGGTTGCCGAGCAACATGAGCTGGCATGTAAGCCTGCGCTGCCGCCATATCCAAGAAACGCCCGAAGCCCTAAGCCCCGAAACCCTGAAAACGCCCTGACCCCTAAGGCCGAAAACCCTAAAGGCCTTGAGCCGTCACAGCCCTAGCTATAGTCTCCATTGTTGTTCGTGTTGTGAGTTACAGTTTAGTTTCCGAAATGTAAAGTTTGCTGAACCCAAACAAGGAACTAGAATGGAGACTACAGGTAAGGCCTTATAAGCTCCAAACACCAAGCCTCACTTCTTCCCAGGTTGCCAGGATCATTTATGCAATTGTCCTCGTGACGGCAGTGATCGCCATGCAGGCAGATTGTTTGCTTTGTGGCTGAGGTTTTTTGGCTTGCTCATGCGTTTTATGGTTTAGGGCCTGGGGGATGGGGTTTAGGCTTGAGGCTGTAGGGGCTTGGCAATCTCGAGGCCCAAGCGTGAAGCATAAACCTGGTGTAACCTTCACACCTCAGACCGACCCCGACTGAAACCTCCAGCTTGCCGTCAAACTGTGCCCAACCGAAGCCGGCTAAGGGCCGGAGCGAAAGGCTGCTCTTTCTATGAGTTTAGGGAATAGGGCTGACACTGCTTTCCAGGGGCAGTCTCGCAGACTCGTGAGACAAGGCATCAGGAGAGTCGACAGCTTTCCAGGAGTCACGGAACAGTCCCAGAAAATTCTCTTTGTCTTCTGCTCACACACTGCACTCTCTGCAGTTCTGGGCCAAAGGTGCATCCAATATAATGGGTGAGTCATGAGCCCTCCTGACTTATGAGGTACAGCACTCAAAATATTTGGGTGTTGGATCCTCAGGCAGGGTGTAGTGGGTTGAGGGGTTCAGGGTCTGAGGCTGGGGCTCGTTCAACGCAAGCAGCCGGGTAAAGTCCCGGTCCTGTTCGGGGGTTTAGGGGTTAAACGGGTTGAGTTCAGGGTTTAGGGTTTAAACTGTTTGGGTTTATAGGGTTTAGGATTTCAACGGTCTAGGTTCAGGGTTTAGGGTTGGGGATTTTGCAGGAACCGTGATGGTCAGAATGTAGTGCAGACATCTGTTTGCAGGCAGCACGTTCGCTGCGACGCTTGCTAGGTGTTCCTTCTGCAGTCCGTGTCCACGAAGTTATGCAATCCAGCGGTACGGTGCCCTGGCCGCCAAGTAGAAAACTACAGCGAGTTTGTGGGTTTAGGGTCTGCAGGTTTGGGGTTGAGGGTTACCCTACACTCTACGGGGTTCAGGGGTTGGAGTTTTGGGTTTAGCATTCATGCTAGCAGAGTGCCCGCTTTCGTGTCACAAGCGACTCGCGACGTGCATCGCACTTTGCGAGGCCCGGCTCTTAACCAGGCCTTCGGCGCAGAGAACTACTATTCGGGGCCGTATTAATTATGTACCGATACTATTTTGTTGGGGGGGGTTCGTTTGAAATGGTCTATAAGGGCTACTGGGCTACACTAAGGATTTAGTGTATGCGCTTGAATAATCAACTATACTATTATGGGGCTACTTTAGTATAATCATAGTATAAGATACCCCAAAACCCTATTATGATTATTACGTCCCCTATATGAGAATCGATCCGGCTTCCCAACCCCTCAGCACGAAGCAACAAAGCTGGAGCATATGAAGAGCCGAGACTGCCTCCTGGTGAGTTGCTTCTAGAGGGCCTTTGTGGGAGTTTCCCAAAATTAGGGTACCTTATTATTTTGGATCATTATAATATGGGCCCTACGATTTAAGGGACTGTAAGCGGGTCCCCCATTTTCGGAAACTTCCTTGTCGGTACGATCACATTCCCAGGGTGGTGCCTGCTTGATGCAACGAGTTGGAAGTCCATGCCATCATCATTGTATGAATACCACCACCCAGAGTCATCAGAATCACTCTCGGGGCAAGGGAGAAGGAACAACAGCAAGATCTCAGCCATTTTGGTGTTCCACGGTTCGCAGCAGTGAGTCTCAGTGCAGCTAAGGGAAGTTCGCGAGATCTACGACAAGTTTCAAACTGCAATATACGGTGAGGCCTCCGTCGGCATGTTATGTAAACCGGGGCTCTTCATTTCGAAGCAACGGGAACTTCGAATGCTGCTGGTCCACCCCCGCTTAGCACACCCAAAAGGCAAGACAGACTGCACCCCTTGAGCCCGACCCCCGGAAAACTCTACGCTAGCCACGCAAGCTCGCAAGGTCAGCCAGGTTTTCCGAATTTCAGGTGGCAGAGGTAGGGAGCATCACCCTAAACCCTCAACCGCTAAACCCAAAAAAGGAACAGCTGGCTGGAAGAGAGAGGCGGCTAGATGCAGGTGAGCATATATAAATAGAAACAAGGTTTAACACTTGTCATCACCACCGCGGGACTGCGACCAGGAGCACAATTGTCACAGCAGTGGCAATACGGATAGCAGAAAAGACGAGTAGGAGGATAGTCAGGGTCACAGCAGTAGTAGTAATAATAATAATATGAAGAATATTTAATAATAATGATGATACTAACAATAGTAAGTAGTAGGTTTCGTGGCTTAGGGCGGTTCAGTAATTAATTTAGGTTTGTTTTAATTGCGAGTCGCAGGCATTGGTTTCAGAGCCCAGTGTGTCCATCTTGACATCAAAAAACCATAAGGCACAGCAGAGCTCTGCACAGTTTCTGTTTTGGTTGCTGCTAGCTTCCGTTGGGCTTGCTCAAGAGTGGGTGAGCAGTTTAGACAGTTTAGGGGTCGTGACTGTAGTTGAACCAACCTTCGGTTTCCCATAGTCTCCACTGCGCGTCGTTGCTTAGGTTAGCCATTCTTATTCTGAGGTTCATGGACACAAACAAGGTAACCATAACAGAAAACTCCAGGTACTTGCTGGATCTTTTACTTCGAAAATCAAAATAGCTCCCTGTGCAGAACACCTACATCACGGTCAACGGGTTCCACCGGGGCAATGATGGGGCAGAAGTCAATATGGAAGGCGCATCGGGACGTTTGGGGTTTCATTTGTAGACCTTCAGCCACTTGGGGGTTAGGGGCCCTAAGTATGAGGTGCCGTATTATCATAAGGACCCAAAAAGGGACCATAGTTTTGACATCCACCCACTCGGGGGTTAGGGGTTGAGGGTTGAGGTACGCACTGGAACGGTCTCTGATTTGGTGCTCTTGGGAACTACATTTTCCTCCTTCTAGCAGCCAATGGGATGAGCATTGTGTACTACTGTTTCATTATGGTTCTATGTGCACTTGAGTGAGGTTGCTGCCTGGCGCCACTCTAATTCGTTGGGGCAATATCAAGAGTTTCTTGGCTCAGGGTTTGGAGGTTAGGTAGGAGTTTAGAGTTTTGAATCTTTAAACCCTGGCCCTAAGCCCTAAAAAAGGACTTCAAGACCGCTCGGGAGGGATCCGATTTGGGAGCTCAGGGCTTGCTTTAGGCCAGGGCTTCGGCCGTGGGTTCCGGGTGACAATTTTCAATCCCCCGCACAGCTTCGAAGTTGAGGATGTGCGGTTTGCGGGCTTGGGGCTACCAGGACCGCGCAAATGCCCTTCAATAGAGCCCTTGTGGTCCCCAATAGTGGGTATCTGGGGCATATTAGAGGGTAGCTAGAGGGGTTCTCGGTGTGGGTGACAGCTTCTAAGAGGGCCTACAGCTGCCACTGGTAGCTAAGGACCCTTCTAAACCCTAAGAAAGCAAAGGCGCACCGGCCTTTTTGCTGGGCTCGATCACATGTGCCTTCGGCGGACTCATCTGAGACATGCCAGCGACCTGTGCGGGAAACTTCAGGCTTACACTGGTTAAAATCTCTCTGTCTTTCCCAAGAAAAGACCTCTTTTAAGAGGTAGTGTGATGCCCTCCTTGAGGGTTTTCCACCACACATCTGTACGCATGGGCTTTGTTAAAGGATCGGCTAGCAGGTGGCCCAGTTGGGAAGCGACCTTGGACGATCCCTTCTTGGCTTTCCTCGGCCTGGACTCACTGTAGAATCCACGTATGGTGCCCTGCTCGATCTCCTCGGCCGTGAGCTTGAATCCTTCCTCCGCCTCCTCGAGCTCGGCGTTGGCCCAGGCCGCGTCGTGGTACACGAGGAAGACCGCGTCCTCGAGCTTGGTAGGTCGTAGGTAGATCCCGTTCTCGCGGAACTCCTTGGCTCGGGCCGACAGCTGGTTCACAAACCGGACGTCCTCGGTAAGGGGAGCTCGCTGAAGTTGCTGTGACAGAGCAACTCCACACGTCGGGTCTGGACGACTCTGGCTGCTCAACCAGCTGGATGAAGGATCCCACATACTCGAAGCTGTCCTCGAGCCAGCCATCGATCGGGAACAGGCGCCCGATCCTTTCCTGGAGCATGCGGTTGACCTCAGTGGGGGCGATCACCAGGATGTCGTCCACGTGGAGGGCGAGGTATCCCGCAGGTTCAGAAGCCTCACCATCCTTAAGTAGCATCATCACGCACGGATCCAGGGGGCACGGAACGAGGCGGTGTCGAACTCCGCCGATATCGAAAACCTCGCCAAGAAGGACACTGGAGAGCCGGTCATACCACATCCTTGGACTCTCGGAAAGGCCGAAGACTCCCTTCCTGATCCGAGCAATTTGTCTCGGATCCAACCCAGATATCCCGGACTTTGGCTGTGCCATCCACAACTGGCGGCCGAGTTCTACCCCTTGTAAGAAAGCGGCCTGAACGTCGCCTGCGGCAGCCTTCCATCGTTTGGAGGCGCATATCTGTAGCAACGATATCAGGGATGCCCTCGAAACCGTGGGAGAGTCAACCTCGATGTTGGCAATGCCCACGTCTGGATCGAGGTGTCCAGCCACAACCAGTCTCGACTTCGGCTTCCATTCCACAGTGGGGTCGGCGCGCCGGCGCCCGAGGTGCTTGTCCCGGTAGGCGAAGCGGGAAGCCAAGATTCGACTCGCCGGCTCTTCACGGCGAACTCGCTCGCTTTCCTCAACGCTCAGGACCTCTAAGGCTCCGGTGTCCACATGTTCTCGCCACGGGACCATCTCCTTCTCCCGGAACTTTGGCCTCATGAACTCCGGAATGAGCGACCAGGGGATCTCCTTCTCGAGCTGCTTTTCACGAGACCGCTGGGTGCGGGCTCGCTTGATCATGTTCACATCGCTGGGCCCTTCACGGGGCCCGCCGTCACCAGTCATTTCCTCACCGCGGCCCTTGCGTCGCTGTCGTTTTAGAACGCGAGGAGGAGCACGAACAAGATCACGTCGTAGGCCACGTCGCTCTTCCCCGTCCAATTCCATGTCAAACGCAATCTCGCCAACCCCAGCGGCCCCGGCGTTGAGCATCTCCTCGTCACCTTGCTCCTCGTGGTCCTCGTCGTAGGCGCCCGGGTCGTCGGAGTCGGCATTCAACAGCTTGTCCAAGTCTTCTTGTGCGACCTTCATACTGAAGGCCTGACCAAGTTCCTCGCCAGTCGCAAGCCGAACATGCTCTGGAGCACATAGCACGCATCTCCCGGCACGGGTGATCCATAGATTCGCACCTTCTCGCCCGATGACGGTTCCAGGTCCAACCCAGTAGCCCTTCTTGTTGTTCTTCGTCTTGCGAAAGTAGAAGACCCTCTCTCCGGTTTCCGGGACTCGGTTTTCCACACGGGCACGCCCTGCAAGGGCACGACGGACTCTCTCATCGGTCTGGACGTGGAAGTAGGCGGCCCGCGCGGCCGTTCGAAGAGCAACCTCGCGGGCGTGCTTGTCGTCGATGATCGCCTCTTGCTCGGGGTGGTCCGCGTGAGGGCCTTCGAGGAGATCTTCTGGTAAGCCTGGCATCGACCCAAACACATGCTGGCAGGGACTGAAACCGCTCGTCCTTGTCAGCTGGTTTTTCGCAGAAGAAACCGCACTCACAGCAAGGTGAAAATCACTTTGACATACAGAATGCTCCTCGCAGATCCGGCCGAACAGAGACTTCCAGATGGCTCCTTGACGCTCTGTGTAGCCTGCCTGGTGGTGGGCCTGCCCGGCCGCGCTGCGGATGCGAGTCCCGGTCCAATCGCCGATACGGGCTAGAGACTTCTCCAACCCGTTCTCCAAATCGACCGCAACCGTAGTGGGAGCCCCGAAGATCTGGATCCAACTTTCACAAAAAGCTTTCTCGAGCGTAGCGGTGTCTTTCTTTTGCACTGGCACGACGATGTGGTAGGCAGACGAGAAGTCGACGATGGAGAGAAGCTGGTGTCGCCGGCCTTCGCTGTCGTGGACGTAGAACAGGTCTGTGCCAACCATCTCGTTGAACCGGTAACAGGGTGCGATCTTAGCCGGTTTGGGGATTGCCGGCTGCTTGGCCCTTTGACAAACTTGGCACTCTAGGCCCTTGGCCCCTTTTAGAACTTCGCGCGATGCCCCAGCCAAACGGAGGTGACGAACAAAATCGGCAGTGCTGGGGTGTCCAAGGTTCTGGTGTAGACGACGAAGGCTGGCCGCTATTGTCTCGGAGACAGTGGGCGGGAAACTTATCGCTCGGGCTCCTCGTGGTAGGGGACCCTCGTCCTCAACTTCCCGTCCTGCACCTTGTGCGGGAAGCAGCTCCTCCTCGCTTTCATTTTCGCCAACGTACACAGAGTGGATCTCTCCCTCTGACTGCGCCTGGACAACCCGGATGTACTGGTGGCCGTCCTCGGTGAAATCGTAGGTCACGTCGTAGCCCGCATCCTCCCAGCCGTTGGCCATGCTTTCCCAAAGGAGAGGCTCTTCAACTTCCCTTTCGAGTACCACAGCTTTTCCCCTCCCAAGTTGGTAGCTGATAGCCTCGACCAAGTCGCGGAACACAACGTCGCAATTCCACTCGGGTAGCATGTGAATCCAGAGCTGGCCGGGCCGATGGCGAATGACCGCCGCCTCGATGTATCCGATGCCCAAGTCCTCTCTGGGTGGTCGTTGGAGATGATGTCTTCGGGGAGCAGAGGTTCCACGAGGTGGTCGCCGCAAATGTCGTACTCGGCAAGCCGGCAAGTAGCGGAGAGACCGCCAACTTCAAGAATGGCGGTTTCGGGACTCGTGTGGGCAGGTAGTGCATCACGTACAACACCGCACATGGTCGACATAGCCGTGGTGAATAGAACAGACAACATCATAGCTGTTCGGCGAAAACTTTTCCGAACACTGCGCTTTGGTCGCGAACTTGATCCTCCATGGTAGGCGTCCTCCTTCTCTGGAGTGCCAGACACGTAGTCGTCACGCTTCTTGATCTCCCGGATCTCGGCCTTGGTGGGCAGAGGGAACTTGAGGTCGTTCAGGATCTTCTTTTCGCTCTTGGAGGCCTCGGGGAAAGAGCGCGGGGTGTATCCGGCAAGAAACCAGCGCTCACCATCGAAAGGCTCGGTGGCATGGGCGAGCCGTGGATCGAACTCCCACCCTTGCTCGTGGGCGTCGACGATTCGCCCCTCGATCTCTTGTCCATTTCCACTTCGGCGCCAAGTTCCGCCGCCCTTTTCCTGCATCCAGATTCCTCCTCCATTGCCGCTTCCAAAACTGACCAGGTAGTTGAGGCTGCCCTTGAGGTTGTTCCGGTCTGTGTGGACCCCGGTAGGCACGTCGCCGAGTAGTGCGAGGGCCGCCCACGTAGCCCGGGTTTGCCCGCGACCGCTCTCCCCGACACAGTCGGCGAGGAACTCGTTCAGGTAGGCAGTCAACTTAGGCCATTCGGTCGTCCGGCGGCCAACTCCCTTGAAGGTGCCGTAGGCGTAGTACCCGAGATTGCACCGCTTCCCGTCCTCGCTTCCGCCGTGTAGTCCGGTTCGGCGATGGTTGGTAGGCTTGAGGTGAAAATTCGCAAGGATCTTGGAGACGGTGTCGAAGGTGAAATCCCGCTCATGGAGTGCAGCTCCGGCGGCGTCTTCTCCGGGATGGGCCTTAGGACCTCGAGAACCTCCATGGCGCGTAGCAAGAACCGCATGGTCCGAGTCTTCCGATCCAGAAGAACACGATTTGAAATCCTCACCGCGCTCGTAGTGCATGTCGTGTGCCCCAGGCGGGGCGCCTAGGTCCTCGTCGCCATCACCAGGGTTTAGCCCCGGTGAGGTGCCAAACCGCACTTGTCGCGTAGGGTAGCCAAGCGCCCCTCGAGTGCTTGGATCTCGTCCATCGTCGCCGGGTCGATCTCCTGCTCCATGCGCTCGGGGCCCTCGGAGTCCTTGGTCTTCATCTTGGCTGAGCGGTGCTTCGGCTTGGCAGCTGGTACCGGTGTCTGGGTCTCCCCCCACAGGGCCGGACGGCCTCTCGCATGCGGGTTGTACCCCTCGAAGAACGCACTCTCGTAGTCCGCCACCATCGCCCAGGACGACGAACCCGTCTCGCTGATGGGCGGCGGGGGCACCGTCGCGTAGGTCTCCGCGTCCACGAAGGTCGGCTCCATGGTGCTCGCCGCCACTGCCGAGGCGCTCTGTCCCTTGGACCTGGGATGGCGACGCCACATCACGAACCGCTTCAAGTCGTTGTGCATGTTGGTTCCATTCTGGCGTTCTTCCTCCGACGCCCAGTCCCCGTAGTTGTCTGGAATCTGAGCAAACGTCGTGCCTCGGAACCGCCCAATGGTCATCACGGTGTCCGCTGGGGCCTGATGCGCAACATGAGACTCCCCTTTGTGTCCCCGGCCTTCACGGTGAGCTCCATCTTGTGCGCCTCGGCCTTCAGCTCGTCCAGGTTCATGGACGACAAACCCTTCGGCACCGCAACTCCCTTCCGCTTGGTCTCGTACTCCCGGTCCGAGATGAGGATCGTTCGAAGCTCCGGGCACGTCCAGGTTTCGTTGTACGCCAACTGCCGGCGCTTGCACTCGTCGATCAACTGGGCCTTTGTCATCTTCCATACTGGGAGCATGGCCGACAGGACGCGAAGGGGCAGCAGCTTGAGCTCGGTTGAACACACTGCGGCCGACCCACAATGTTGGATACTCTCCAAGGTCTTTGACGGCCCACTGTTCGGTCACGGTAGACAACATGCGGCGTGACATGCAACCAATGCCCCATGATTCCCTGACACTCCCAAGCTGACGAAGTAAAAGATCACGTAGATGAGTTTGACATGTCTCCCATCTTCGAGGATCAAAGAACTTTCTTCGAGGAGTGATGTGGACACGAACTAGCTTGTGGGGTAGCTCAATCCAAAAGTCATTTACGAGTTCTGTGTTGGCCCACCATGTCACAAAGAGGTCCTCGTTTAGAACGTCACCCGTCAGCATGTCCCTAACAGCACCATCTATCTTCTTGTCGTAAAAGATCTTCGTCACCGCATCGACATCACCAGGATCCCCTTGCGCATCACCCGAAACACCCCCGCTGCAAGCAGTCATGTACACCTCACGAGGGCCGAGGATCGCGATGCCATGTGGCTCCCAGCTGTCAGGGAGCCTCGACGTGTCCGGCTTGGCCAGCCTGGAGTGATCAACTACAACAGCGGGGTGCCCACTCGTCGTCTCTTCAAGCTCGACCTCGCCGTCGTTGAGGGCACGAAAAGTAGCGACATTGCTTCCAAGGTCCAAGACAAGGCCGAGCCGTGACAAAGCCGGCCTCGAGAGAAGAAGCGGAATATCCCCGTGGATCACCGAAGCCTTGATCGCGATGAGGTGATCAAGAAGAGGCACGAGGATCACCGCGGCATAGGTGGACTCGTAGATTCGGCTAGCAGCTCCGAACTTAAAGCTCTCCTTCTCATAGACAAAAACCACATCATACCCGCTGCCCTTGACATAGTCCAAGTACTTCTGAAGCCATCCCAACCACAGTCTTAGAACAAGCAGAATCCAGGATCGCCTTGAGGCCGTCGCGCGTGCCCGTGGTGAGCTCGAACACCTCGTTGGTGACGTGGATCGTCTGTGCCTTAGTGCCAGAACCTTGGTTGCCATTGCCGGGGAACTTAGGGCAGATAGCATCTCTGTGCCAGTGGCCCCTTTGCCCACAAGCAGAACAGTGGGATTTCGCCTTCGCCAGCTGGATCTTGGCCTCGGCAGCCTTGCGGATGCCACCCGGGTCGGTCTCAGCCTCGGCAGTTCTGTAGTCGGTTCCCCGTGCTTTGGCGGATTCCTTGTATCGGGCCTTCGCGGTCATGTAGGTGAGGTAGAGTTCTTCGGAGTTGCACTCGGGATCATCATGAAGAGGAGGTTCAGCATCGGATCCCTCACCGCCGTCGAGGTCGTCGGTCTGGTTGACGCTCTGGGGCTTCCCGCGGAAGCCCGCCTTTTCCCAGGGTTTTCGCATTGACCTGTCCAAGACGATGGCCGCGGACTGCAAAGCCTTGAGGGCGTACTTATTGCCAACGCTAGCCAGCAAACTGACCTCCGTGGCCTCGTCGAGGTTGGCCCTGTCCACGAAGAGCCAAGCATTGGCCACGTCTGGCAAAGCACAGCCGCACTCTATGACTCTCGCCAGCAAGCGGTTGAACTCCGCGGCGTAGTCCCGGAAACTCTGGTGGGGACGCCTGCGAAGCTTCCTGAACAAGTCACTCAAAGAACGTCCCACCTGTGTGACCTCCACGTCCAAGTAGTGCTGGCGAATCCATTCTCGTAGGCGGCTAACACCTTCGGGGTGAGCCAGATCCTCAACATTCAAGGACTCGGAGTTCACCCAAGCCGAGCCAGACAAATGTTGGTATAGCACCAATGCACGTTGGTCGGGAGCTAACTTGGTCATCTTCTCCCACGCACTCACCTGTCTCAGGTAGCTCCGCGCCGAAGTTCCAAGGTCGCCGCCGTTCTCGGCATCCCCGGTGAAGGTGGGGACAATGAGGCGTTCCGTAGGCCCCTTAATGAGGCGTTCCGTAGGCCCCTTTGTCCCTCCAAAGGACTGATGCACAGTCTCTGTAGACGCGCCCCATGTGGCAGCAGGCCATCCATTCCACGAACTCGCCGTAGTAGCCGCCGCGGTCCACGTAACCGGTGGGGTCCCGGAGGTACTGGTAGAACCCGTCGTAGGCCCCGCATCTCCGTCCCACCGCGTCCAGGAAGAACTGTTCCATGTAATCGGTGCCGTCCCGCTAGTACCCGCAGAGGTCGATGTAGAGACATTGTCAGCCGGCATCCACTGCCAGCGGCCCCAATCGCCTTGGGGTTGCCACGTTCGACTCCAGCGGCCCCAGCTGCCGGAATTCTGAGTGGCCCAGGACCAGTTCGAGGCCCCATTGCTGTCGGCAGAGTGGTTGCCGCCATCGCTCCCTCCGTCTTGAGAGCCTCTGCTGTCCCAGCGTGCCTGCCAGGCTTCCCAGTCTTCCCTTGTCCAAGGCCCAGATGCATCCCTATCACCTGGGGTCCCATTTCCTTGAACTTCCCAAGACTGATCTTCGGTAGCAGGAGTAGGTCGCGCAGCTTCGCGTTCAGGCTCAGCAGCAGCATCAGCTTGAGTGCCGCCGCCCCAAGGGTCTGAAGTGGACCACGGGTCCGCACCATCGAGACTGGCCATGGAGCGTAAGGCTCCGCTACCAGTGACAGCTTCTAAGAGGGCCTACAGCTGCCACTGGTAGCTAAGGACCCTTCTAAACCCTAAGAAAGCAAAGGCGCACCGGCCTTTTTGCTGGGCTCGATCACATGTGCCTTCGGCGGACTCATCTGAGACATGCCAGCGACCTGTGCGGGAAACTTCAGGCTTACAGTGGGGTTTTGTTTAGGCTTTAGGGTAATTATAGGGTTTGGGGTATCCTCAACTAAGCCTACATCCATCCCGCTGTCACGCGTTTTCCCGAAGCATTCCGATCCCCCTAAGGCTCCATGAGGCTCCATGTGCCCATATAGTATGTACTCCGGCGCTACAGTACACATATCCCTCACTGTAAGCCCTATATATATATATATATATACAGTGAACCCCAGAAAGTTGGAAACCCCATAGCCTCAGTCCTTAAGAGTCATCTATGGGGAATCCCAGCACTATTTGGCCTTAATCCGGTTTCCAACTTTGTGGGGTTTACTGTATGTATACATACATATATACACATATATATATACATATGGATAGATAGATAGATATACTGCATATACATATATAGGTATATGCACACACACACACACACACACATGTCAAAACTATGTGGGTGCATGGAGCCTTAGGGCTCAAATCGCCGCTCAGGCTTCCGCGCCCTGTCGCAGGACACCAAAGTTGCCATCTGCAGCGTGCTACTCCTCAAGTAGCGTTTTTAGGTTAAGAGTTCAGGGGCTTAGGGGCTTTAGGTTTGAGTTCTTACCCTGAACCCTATCCAAAGCTCCACACGAGGCTTGTGCTAAAGGCCCCTCAACACGAACAACCCTCTCAACCCTAAACATGCCAACAGTAATCAACTTAATATGTTTGCAGCTTGGCCGTTGGAGGGAGGAAGAACTCAGAAGTCAACGAAGCTACGGAGTGTTTGTAGCCCCGCCTATTCTTGCAGCTGGTCGAAAGTCTCTAGTTTACCCTGTTGCAAGCGGGGTTTAGTACCTTTCGCGATTGTGCTGTAGGGACTTGGCTTCAGTCCTTTGTGAGGTCGAGGAGGGTAGGCTAGCATCGTACAGATGAGCGGCATCAATCACCTTGCAAGTGCATACGTCCAGCATTAGAGAGGGTCAAGGCTTGAACTTTACTGTAAAGAGTTTAGGGTGCTGGGCTTGGGTTTCAAGGCGTTATGAAGTACTGGGTTCAGGCTTCATAGAGGTTCGGGTACTGGTAGGATTCGGGGTATCGACCTCCGGCCTGGCAGTAGATTAGGGCTGCACGTCTAAGCTTTAGAGTCTTTATGGCGCGTTGAGTTTTGTTTTTGTTCCGGGCTGGGCGCCCTAAACCCTAAACCCTAAACCCTACAGCATGCTGCACCCTGGTTCGGGCAGGAAGCTTGAGGAAATCGAGGTTTGATCTGAGCTTAGGTTCTTGTCCCCTAAGGCTCCATGTACCCATACAGTAGGTACTTAGGCCTTACAGGGGTCCCTATATGGTTACTTTAAGGCCTAAGTACCTACTATATGGGTACATGGAGCCCTTGGGGTCGGTGTCGTGTTTGGCTAAGGTGCCGCTGTCTCAGCCGTACTTCACCTACACCATCCTGCTTATTTGGACCATGACGCCCCTCGGCTGCCCCTCAAGTAATCTTGAATCCGCGGCCCGAACCTGATTATTCCTTCGAGTTCCTAGGTTCAGCATTCTGTAACATATGCCCAAACCCTATTGTGTTCGCTAAGGCCCCAATACAAGAATTCGTTTAAGTTCTTCAACCCTTAAGCACCAATCTTGATCCGGATCGTCGAAACTTCAAGGCCTGCATGTTTGTCCAGCCCAACCTAAACGTGGAAACCCTAATTACGCCTCTTTGGACGGAGTTTTTTGTCGCCCTGCTTCCTTAAAGCCTTTCACTTTCGACTTTCGATGTCCGAAACTCTGGTCTTCAGTGGTGCACTTTCTGCGATTTCGGACCTTGGGAAACCCCTAAACCCTAAACCCTAAACCCAAACCCTAAACCCTAAACCATGAGCCGGGAGGGCTTCTTAGCATTCTACATCTTTGCCTTACGGTAGGGGTCCCAAGATGAGGTTCCGTCTGCTTCGAGTCCCTGATTCTTTGTTGGGAATCGGGGGAATGGGCTGTAGGGACTACTATCAGGGACGTTCCCGCATCCCCTCCTGCTAAGAACCAGGAAGTATAGAGTCTAGAATTACGGTGCCGTGCGCAAGAGGAGATGATCCTTTGCAACACTTGCTTGCCGCTTGCCCACCAAGTAGCAGCGAAAGCCTCAACCCTAAGTTAGGGTTTCGGGTCTAGAACTTCGGATGTAGGGTCAAGCTTGACTGCCGGTCTAGAAGTCGACAATTTTGGGTCTGCAGGCCTGAGGAGGGTTCAAGTCAAAGGCGAGGAGTTGGCTGAAGCTTTCGGTACCGGTTTAGTTTGAGATGTAGCATAGGGGCCTAAGTAATTCCCTATACCCTGTTGGTGGTTCTTTACGTAGATTACATCATACCCCAAAACCCTATGAATATTGTTATTACTATCACTAGTATTTTATACAGGACCCTACAGTAGCCACCACACACCCCGACGAGGTGCCTCGCGGAAATTCGGCGAGCAGTGAGGCTGCTTTACGCCACGCTGATCTCGATTCCAACGGTGCCTAAGCTGAGCTCTAAAGCCGCAGCTCGTTTGTCAGACATGTTGCATTCTAGGAACCCTCAACACCACAAACTCTAAACCCTCGAAATGAAGCTGCTAAGCAGTTTCAATTCCTAAATTCTGAACCCGGACCCTAAGATCGTAGCCAAATTTAGCTTTCCAGACCGGCTTTATCCTCACCCTGGTATCCTTGAATACCTGGGGATGGAGCCCTGCCCAAACCGACGTGACTAGACCGCAAAAGATCTTGGCCCTAGACCCTATACCATAAACCCGAAGTTACTATACACTCCACTGCTGTGGAGCAGACCTCGGAAAAAGGTGTTGTTCCGAAAGCTACTGTAGACGATAAACCTTTACCCTAACAGGGGCCCGAATCACAGTAACTAGAATTAATTATTATAGTTAGGGGTTACTATAGGGTTTCATTGGGATACTGTTGGGTTTCACAGGAATACCTCAGGGTTTCATAGCGATAGCATAGGGCTTCAAGGAGATATATACTATAGGGCTCCACAGGAGTCCTTACGGATACGAGTAGGGTTTCATAAGCATACTGGATGGTTTAAGATGAAAATGTTTCGGGGTGCAGAAATCTAAACCCCTAAACCATAAACGGTCTTCAACTACAAACCCCTGAATCCTCAAGTTTGGACCTTGGCAGCACGAAGAAGCCCTAGCCCAAAACCTCAAAGGGTTTGGGGGTTTAGGGCCTCCTAAACCCTAAACCCTAAACCCCTAAACCCTAAACCCCTAAACCCTAAACCCTAAACCCCTAGGGCCTAGGGGGCATGTTTGGCCGAAACCCGCATCCCTGAGCCCCTCTGAGGTCACGTATGTGGAAGAAGTCTTGGAGGAGCCTTGTCCAACCCACCAGCTTGTTCGCTTCATCTCCTGGCTCATAGTTTCGGTGGGTTGTGTGTGTGTGTGTGTGTGTGCGTGCGTGTGTCTGTGTCTGTGATTTGACGGAGTAGCTTGTATTTTTGGCTCGTGCTTTAAGTGTTGCTTTGGGCTTTGTCTTACGTCGGAGACCCCTCGTGTTCAAAGATTCCTTGACTTGTAAACCTTATAACACCATAACCCTGAACCCTAATTAAAGCGAACCGTTAAACCCTGAACCTTTAAACCAAAACTCTTAACCCTGCCCTCGAGCTGGAGCCAGAAGGCCTGAACCGCAAAGGCCACTGAAAGCCTGAAGCGTCGTTGCCCGGTGCCCTAGACCCCCAACCCCTAAACCTCTTTTTCCAGTGAGTCTGTTCCCGCAATCATCTATCTGTTCCAGATGATCACGGATCTACTCGATGTGGTCAGGCATTTTGAAGATTAGACGACGTTTGTGCTGGCGGTTCTGGCTTTGTTCGGGTTCGGTGTTACTCGAGACTCCTCCTAGCTCAGGAGACGACCATCAAAGGAATGACCAGAGGCCAACGCCACCGGTTTAAGGTTTAGGGTTAAGGGTTTAGGGTTTAGGGTTCAGGGTTTCATCGTAACTTGACGGTACGGGATCGAGAGGTTAGGGTTCAGCCTCTGGCCGTCCGAGTCGGAGTCTGACAAGACCCTCGAAGTCTTAAACCCCAAAGCTCTAAACCTCGAGGCCATAAGCCCTTATAAGCAGTTAAACCGCTACAGCCGTGAACCCTACCCCTAAGAAGACTATGACCAGCCAACAATCAACGCGGGAAGCTCTTTGCAGCGCCATGTTCTTCCCAAGCAAAACCGGGGAGGTGGAGGAGAAAGCGCTTAGCGATTAGGGCCCTTCAAGGCTGCATTCAGTTGATGGTCTATAGAACCTTCTTATACCTTGTAACCTTACGAGGCCTCGTGTAAGTAAAACCAGCCCTGGTAAAGACGTTGAAGGAGACCTTGACACAGATCCATATACCGACCCTGTTAACTTAACAATTACAAAGGCCTCTAGGAAATGTGAAGCCCACTTGAACCTGAATCCACAAATAACAGAGACCCCAACAGCCAGTGCAGCCATCGGAAGGTCTTGAGCTCCAAAGCCCCTCCCACGTCTCCCTTACAAAGCCAAGGTTTTGGGAGTTTTTGTGTTCTGGATCTGGGTGTAGGGTCGATGTTCACGATTAGGCCAGGCCGCGACATGTCGGCAACAATCCCTCGTTTCAAAACGGGATGCCCAGAGGTATGAAGTTCTTTATCGGTATTTTCTGCTTCCTACCTCGCATCGCCGCGACGATGCTACTGAACTTCCTCGGCTGCCGTTGGCTTCTCTCTACGGTCAGCTTGCAGGAGCGTCTAGTGTTGAGATGCCCCAAGTACCTTTTCACGTTAATGGAGGCCCTGTGGTCTGCAAATTTCTGTAATACTGGGTATGTACGAGAAAGGTTTAAGGCTTGCGATTTCGCTAGCTTGTGAGTTTCAAGTGTAGGGTTTGGGGATCAAGTTTCGAGGGCAGTGGAGAAGGTTGCACCCGTCATCCTTCAACCCCTCAACTCTCTTGGTTCTGGCTTTGGGGGGGGGGGGGGGGGGGGGGTTGGCAGCTAATATGAACATGTGAACCGTGAAGATTAGCTTGAGTATTCTTGTGTAAGAGCCCGATGTAATTCTCTTACTCTTCGTTCAGGCCCCGATTTTGCAGAAACCTAGGCTCTGCGCGATGGTTTCCATGAAATGCTGCTAATGGATCTTCGGAATGAAAAGGGCTTTGCCATGCTCACAAAGGTAAATCCATGACCCCACCTCAAGCACTCAAGCAGTTTGAGGGTTTCTTATGAGGTTTCGGGCTATGATTTCTTGGAGCTGACAAAACCCAAAGGGTCCAAGTATAATTATGGTATATACTTAGACCCCCAAAATACCCTATATGTATATACCATAATGATACTTGGACCCTTTGGGAAGCATGTCCTTACAAAGCTACGCTTTCTTCGGGCGGGGTGCCTTCAGACAGTGCCGGCCCTTTGAACCCAAAACTGTCAACCTAAATCCCCAACATCCACATTCGCGTAAATCCTAAACCCCATACCTGGGCCCAAAGAAACCTAGATTTTAGGCTCCTTGTTATGGTTTCCCTGCAGCAGCTCTGCCAAAGGTAGGTTATTTGGGCTCAGGGTAGCCCATGTCATTCTTAACGAGCATCCGCAAACCTTATTAGAAGCTCCTAATCTCAAATCCTAAATGCTGAAGCTTGTTGACCTCAGAGTCAGAGAAGTGCCTGCAAGCGGCAAAAGGCTACGAGCTGGTTTCCATGTAGGGCTTTGGGATACCCGTTTGGATGCTATTCCCCAAATCTGGCACCCTTGACCTCCGAACCACGCAGGCACAATAAACCCGTCTAAACCCTAAACCCTAAACCCTAAACCCTAAACCTGAACCTCGCTGGGCCAGTGGCCCTAATGACATTGCCCATGAGATGGCAGTGGTTTCACCGCATGCTCCTTCGTGGGGAGACTTGGTGGGAGGGCTGGGTCTAACATGTGTAAAAAAAAAACCTTAACCCTAAACCCTAAACAAATATCAGGACCTCTTCCTGAACTCCTTGGCTCTGGAGTTCATGGCCTCTTGGCGCCTTCTTACTTTGATGTTGGGTTTAGGGTTTAGGGTTTAGGTGTAGGGTTTCGAGTTTAGGTTTAGGGTTTAGGGTTTAAGGTTTAGGGTTTAGGGTTTAGGGTTTAGGGTTTAGGGTTTAAGGTTTAGTGTTTAGGGTTTAGGGTTTAGGGTTTAGGGTTTAGGGGTGTCTAGGCCTTTAAACCCGAGGGACTGCGCGAAGAGCCTTTGTAATGTGAGGCCCCAAGCGCAAGGTTTTCCTCCAAATAGGCAGCTACTGGCAGCAGTAGCAGTCATGACCGGATCTCTTCAAGATCATCGGTTATTCTCATCGTCGTAATCATACAGCCTTATCATGTCGACCACCAGCAGAAATGTAATCATGGAAGAAAGCGTCCCGAAAGCCTACTCCCGTTAGTACGGCTCGGTGATTCTGTGTCCCTAAGAGAGCCGAGCAGTGCGGTCTGAAGGTGCTTGGTTAAGGTTTAGGTTTCTTCCTAAACACTGATTATAATATTTACTTGATGAGCCGAAAAAAAGGAGATGGGATAGACCGTTTTGGCTATGATACTGTCAAGGTATGTTCGGGGAACCCTAAAATCCCCTAAGTACATGAACCCGAATCCTCGGACTGCATGCTGCAGCCAATGCTGTCCCCTCGGCCTCCCACCCGATTTTCTTAATCTTAAACCCTGAAGCCCCAAGGCTCTGAATTGTAAACCCTACGTAGCCGAAAAGACCTACCTTTTTAGGGTTCGTTACTATGGTTTCTATACAGAGTCCCTTCAAATGGTAGGTCTTTTCGGCTGCAGGTAAGGCTTTGAATCCGATAAGCGCCGAGGCCTAGAGTTCTAAAGGCCTGACCTCGCTCCCTCGCCTTGACTGTCCGAGGCTTGAGGTTGTTCTGCCAGAGCTAGGGTTATGAGTAAGGTAGCTATACTTATCTAGGTAGGCCTTTGGGACATTTTAGATTACCCCTTATTTGGATGAATAGGACCCTGTTTACGAATATTTGTTCAGAGGCTTTAAAGGGCCAACCTAGTTATAGCTGCTTACAACCCTAATTAAGGTACTTATCACCGTACTTTCTAAGTCCCCCGACCCTCCAAGCGAGGTTGTTCTGCCAGAGCTGCTTTACAACACCTTCGCGACAGATCGAGGGCAGAAGTGGCTCGGATCCACTCGGAGGGTCGGGAGAATTGTGGGTTGCAGGTATCCCTTAAAAAGATCCTGGTCCCAATGGGTGTTATGGTACTTGTAACTTTATGCACTTCAGAGCCCTAAGCCCTGAAACTTGAATCGAGCGTATTTAGGTGTTGAGGCGTTTTGGTTCCGAGGTTTCGGGCTTCTTTAGGGTTTAGGGTTTAGGGTTTAGGGTGAGGTTTCGGGCTTCGAGCTTGAATTCGTATTTCTGGCCTCTGCCAACAGTTCACAGCGCTGTGACAAGGTTGACGCAAGCCACCATTCTCGTGCCTCGGCAGTTTGAGAGTTGCGAGCACGTGCAAGGTTTTAGCCAGCGGCGAAGTATGTTTGCTCTAGGATGCACAGTCTTTTGGAACATTGCTGGAGGGGTGGCTTAGAATCTTCTCGCTTCCCCTAAACACCTCATCCATGAGCATGAGCCTCATCCATGACTATGAGCGCAAGCTCTCCTGCTTCCCCGAAAGATGGAAATTCACAGCGTACTCAGTGCGTCGTCATCTCTCAAGCCGGCAGATCGCTATGCAAACCGAAGGTCTTACGGCGTTAGCATTCTTGATCCTGGAACTTCACAAGCATTGCATCGCCCCAGGCTGGTGACAAGGCACCTTCGCCACTTTGCCCAAATATTCGTGCAGGGCTTGCATCACTGTTCAAATCACGCCAAACCCTACACCGTGCTAGTCATATGCCGCCTTGATCCTTACAGGAGCAAAGCCTGCAGAAGCACACGATACTAGAGCTCAAAGTTTCAGCCTGAAGCCCTACTCCCTGACCCTACCTGTAGTCTCCATCGTTCCTTTCAAGGATGACCTTGTAGGAGTGTAAGTACACAACTCGTTAAGCCAAGAAAACAGACTGCAATGGATACTATAGGTAAACCCCTAGGCTACAGATAACTTGTTTGGAACCTCAAGCCTGACCTGCTACCATCGTCACGATCACAAGTACTAGAACTATCATTGCCATTGCCATTATCGTTCACAACTGCATGCTTACTACACAGGGTTTTTGCCGTCAGAGTTTTAGATGCAAGGGGCTTATGGCAGCGTCATATCTGTCCTGGAGCTTGCGCGGGGGGGGGGGGTCTGACCGGATCTGGTGCACAAACCTCATTTGCCACGGGCTTCCAACAAGTCAGACCTTCCAAAATCCCTTAATTCAGGAATATACCTTAAATCATATTAAGGATCCTACAATATTTTAAGGTATATTCCTTAATTAAGGGATTTTGGAAGGTCTGGGAAGTCTTGAGGCATTTCGAGCGTTGGAAGACCTTGTTGCTATGCTGAAACTCTCACGTGTGTCAGAAAGTTGCTCGAGCTTAGACTAGGCTTCCCAGTACAGTAAGTTAGTTAGTACCTGTTCGCCCTTCTTCTTTTTGGGTTCTCTTTTCAAAGCCAAATAATAGTAGGAATAAAGGTGCACGGTTTATTAGGGGTTGCTAGCGAATCTATCAAGAGTCAGCGTCCTAGCCAGAGAAGCGGTAGGCCCAGATGCTCGAAGCCCTGTATGCTCGCAGCCCTTGCTCATGTTTCGCTTCAAGCCCAACCTCCACGTTAGGGCCCCAAAGTAGTTCCTTTTTGGGGTTCGTATATAGAATCCTATAAGGTAATCCCAAAAAGGAACTTGTGATTGTGGGTTGACTTGATCAGGGCTCTGAGTGTCGGTGACGATGCTGAATGTCGGACTTGTCTGCAGCTGCTGCTGTTGCTGCTGCTGCTGCTGTTGAAGTCTGGTTCTGATCTGAAAGGGAACATCATCAAGAGAGGAGTATGGGGATGACATCCCCAACACCCCTTTTCATCAACCCCTAACCCTCAACACCCAAGTACACTTCTCGATTTCTTTCGCTGTCATCTTGAGCCACGCACGGTGGCCATGCTAATCTTCTGGTATCGTTCCTGCCAAAAGCAAGGTGTCATCCTTGCGCAGGGGTTATGCAGACGCTCTGCTGCACAATCTTCAACTGATCTCGCACAGCTACTACAGATGCAAACACACTCCTCCTCACCTGACAAGCCAACGGCCTGGAGGGTGCTCAAACTGTTGCATCAAAGTAGCGGTTACGTTATCAAAGTCGCAGGGCCTCGGAGTCTTTACATGCCATGCCCCCGGAATGGCCAGGCCTTGGGAACCCTTTCTTTTTTCGAGGTGCTTGATTGTTCTTGATCCCCAGTGGGCTAAACTGCGACATTATCAAGCTAATTTCGCCCTGTACTAATCAGTGGACGTTCCAATGGCGATATCATGCATGCCTGCGCCGTGTGTTCTCACAGTGGCAGACAACTCAACCTCTCAGCGACCACCTGGAAACTCATGAGAGACTCAGATGATGCAGAGAAGGAATATAGGAGCTATGCAAGTGCTTCGGTTGCAAATAAAAACTCCCATCACGTCGTTGTGCGAAAGCGTGTCTCAGCTAACATGTATGTTGTCATCATGAACTCGGCACACACCAATGGCTCTGCGAAACTGCTCCAACTTCAGACGAGGAAGAGTCTTTGTAAGCAAATCAGCGGTCAACTCGCTCCCGGCCTTGTGTGACAATGCAATTCCGGACTCTTTAAGCACATCACGGATCCACGATGCACGGAGTCCGAAATGCCTTGTTCTCCAAAGCGTTTCCTGGAACCGCGGCTTGGTCAAGGAAGCAATGGAGGCGGCATTGTCGCCTTCCGCCAACATTTCACTGACTTCTCCAAGCTGTGTGACATAACATTCAAGTCGTAGCATGTCCGCAAGGGCATCGGCCATGGCAGCAGTTTCAGCTTCACATGTTGAGAATGCGGTCAAAGTTTGTCGCGTTGACTTGTACATCAAGGTGTTCCCGCCCCACTTAACCAAGTAGCCTGAACGTGAGCGCGATGCTCCACTCCCGAATGATGCATCTGACTCCAGTGACAAACTGTTGCATGAATTGGCTGCAAACCACATGCCAAAAAACATAGTATATCGAATGTACTTCCACATGCCTACAACCTTTTGCAACACCATGTCCGGCCTTAAGACGATCATCGTCGAAAGTATACCGCATGTTGCCGCAATGTCTGGTCTCGTCTTTGTGGCAAGCCACATCAAAGTGCCCAGCTCACGTTGAGCTTGCTTCAAGATCTTTGGCTCACATTGTTGCTCATTTCCTTTTGAAATCTTTCCTTCCTCAACCTGAGGTAGACAAGGACTGCCGTTCAAATGCAGATAGCCTCTCAAGTTGAGTTGTTTCACAACCCATCGCTGCTGGGATGTGGCAACCCCCTTGTCATGGAAGAATACTTGAATGCCAACAAACACCAGCTCAGGCTTCTTCATCACTTCAAGAGACCCTCTTGTCCACTTCTGGTTTGCGTCACGAGATATCATCCCTTGAAGTTTTCCCTTCCACGATTTAAGGATAAATTCCCCAATTCGCAAGATTGCCTCCGTCTCACCAATGGCAAGCACATCATCAACAAAGACGCATGCCACAGCCACAAGCTCCTGAGTATCGCGCCTCTTGATCAAGAAAACGCCGCCAATCCCTTTCATGGCCTCAATCACCAAAACAGGCAGCTCATCTCCTGCAGCTGGCTCAAGGATCGCCCCACTCAGGATTGAATCCCGATGTTCTTCCCATCTAGCCGGGGATTGACGCAGGCCGTATATTGCCCTCAAAGCTCGTAGCCATACGCCTTCTGCAATCAAGCCAAGTTTCACTAATGATTTTGGCGGTTGCATTAGTATGATGTCACTTCCGGTCAACACGGCATTGAGAAAGGCTGCACTTATATCAAGTGATAGCGCTGCCCACGTCACATGCATCGCCAAGAGCGTCAACATCAAACGTAGCACCTCAATTGGCACTGTTTCAGCTGCGTTTGCATCCTTCATTCCAGGCTTGACTTCTTCGAAGTTTCCACAAACGCACAATCGAACCTTCGGCTTAAAGCGCTTCTGCTCGGACGCCTTCACCTCGTCAGCTGACTGCGATGCTGAGCCTTGTTTGTGTTTACTCTCAGATTCACCATTCGATTTCTCATCACACTTGTCCCCCTGCATTAGCAGAGGTTTCCGGGTACAAACAACCGTCATCGGAAGCACCTTAGGCAAACGCTGATGTGGTCCAATACCCAATTCTTCTCGGGCTCGGTTGATGTTCACCTCTACCCATGCTGTGTTTGTGACCATGTTTGATACTTCGTCTCCAGCTGCCTTAATCCACGGCTGACGGTCTTGTTCTGATCCCGTGAAGAAAATGCTACTGGGCACCGGTTCTCCTGTGACTTCTTCCTCAGCCAAAAGCCGGAGAGCAACTTCCATTTCATTCATGGCATCCTCAGTGTCGGCGTCGAACACCCGATACCAGTTGTCCTTGCACTCCTCCTGAAAAGACTCAGTATGTTCACCGTTGGCAGCCACAATGGGTCCAGAGGGCTCCGGCTCAACCAAGAATCCATGACCGAAGAGGCTGAACAAAAGCTCTGGCTTCAAGTGTTCCTTGAAACGTTGTTTGATGATGTCAGAAGCCGTGTTTCCATCATTCCATGCCTGTACTGCCCCAGTTGCTTCCTCAACTGTGATCAAGTCTGCAGGTGGTGCATCCCAACAAACATCCCCACAAGTGCTGATCCATACAACCTGGTCCTGAGGTCCCTTCTCCAGCCTCCAGCGCGGGGATTGTTTGTCAACCAACACTGGCATTCGTGCTACTCTCACTGCAGTGCCTCCGTCACGCACTACCATGACTCGGGCTCCCCCTGGAGTGCGTTCATCATTCGCCAGGAAGATCCCTTCTTCAGCTTTGGGAGCAAAGGGGTGAGTGTCAGGACTAACAGGCTTTCGCAAAAGTACTGTGTCACCCATATGGGGACGATCCTTAGGAATGACCAATTTCAAAGCGCGACATCGCCTAAGAAACGTTGCTTCCAAAATGGCTTCGTCCCATAACTGCAGTGGCAATTGAGCATGGAGTAAAAGCGATGCTGCAGCTTGCTTCAGGATGCCAACTAGACGCTCAGCTCTGCCATTCTGTTGTGGATTGTATGGAGCACTCCTGGTTGGCCAAAGGCTGCAACTTTCCACCTCCTTTTGAAATGCCCCACCCACGAACTCCTTTCCAGCATCGCTGTGAATGCGAAATACCGAGGGAGTTCCTTGCACAAGTGAGATAATCTGACACATCACTGAGTTCAATGCCTTGGCCACCTCTGACGACTGCTTTGTGTATAGTAGCCGAGAAAACGGAAGATCATCACCATCAACACTCAAGTTGGCTACCATGAAGTACCGATGTCCTGAGAAAGCATGGGGATGTGGCCCGGACAAATCAAGAGATAACGTTCCTCGCGCAACATCCTCAGCTGTGAGTCGCCTGCTCTTCCGCTTATGTCCAGCAGACTCCGAGCACTTTGGACAGTGCCTCTCATACAAGCCCTTTGAACACTTCGACTGGAGCAACTGCACTGCCCTCTGTCGCGCTGCCTCATCGAAGCTTGACGCTAAAGATTTCTCTTCCAAGGCACAGGCTATCCATGGATCTACAGGCTCGGACGCAGGAGTCAGCAACGTAACTCCACACACCTTACACCTTCCCGAACTCCCCGAAGACCTAAAACCCTCGAACCCAATCACAGAGTCCTCATCATCACTTTCATCATCATCAGAAGGAGTCGCATCGTGCGATGTGGTAGCGATGCTTCTACTTGGGCTTTGCTTGGCTTGGGATGTGATTTGTTGTAACTGCTGCGGCGGCAGGTTGAAACCCAAGTCGCACAAGCACTGATGTGTGTCAATGTCCCCTTTGTCCAAGCATCTCGGAGTGTAACAGGTCACAATGCCTCTTACTCCCCTATGCTTGTCCGCTCCATGCCACTGCCGAGCGTTGAAGGTGTGAGCTTGACGGCTCACCTCCAAAAGATTTCCAACCTTGATCTCATCTCCGACGATCCTTCGCTTCACCATGCCATGACTGTCTTCTATCCACAATCGTCCTCCAGTGAATTTGGTCAGTCCAATCACTCCACTTTTGGAGCTGACCTCATTTGTCAGGTCACGATGTGGCGTCAGAGTTGCGTCGATGGCAATCTGAAAAGTTGCATAGGTGAGGCCTGGAAGCTCTTGTCGAATAAATGCATTTACCAGTTTGCACAAGTTTGGTCTTTGTCTCGTCAAGTTCGTGATTCCAACTATCCCACCGTGACAGTAGTAACCGAAGATCCACATTTTAGCTCTTCTCGAGGACATAGGCAGCGATGCATTCCGAACAACCTCCCACAGCTCTTCATACGTGATGGAACCCTTCGCTAGCACCTCGCGCGCCAGTGTCTCGCTCTTGAGAACCTCATCTGTGAATTCCACTCCTGCACACATCGTTTCCTCATTCCAGGTGTCTTGCATCAGCTGCTCCAATGTGCAAGTGTCACACTCAACCCAGCCTTCATCATCACCCCCAGCTTTCGCCAGCAAAGCTGACGAAGTTTGAGCCTTGTGAAATCTGGATAGCATGATCCTAATCGGCCTGAAGTCCTGCCAAGAAAGAAATGGTAAGCCATTCTGTATAAGGCATTCAATTGTTTGATGTCTACCATGCTGATCCAAATATGTCACTGTTGCACCGCTCTGATTCCAAGAAAACGCTCCCCCTGCATCAACCAATCTGCGGACACTGAGCAGCCAGTCCCTGGACGATGGGCTAGCCTGTATACACAGTTCGCCATCCCTAGTTTTCACAGCCGGAACATGATCACCTGATGCCGTCACAACCGTTGTGCGCTTACCTCCGCTCTCTTTGATGTCGCTCGTCCAAGGCCTGATCGTTTCATTTGCTCCAGAATCAACCAGAACTGAAGGCATCGTAACCTGTGGCACTGCTGCTGTACTGCCTGTCGGTTGATCTATACACTCTAGTCGTGCAGCAATGTTTGTTTTCTTAGCACCAACCAAACTCGGGATATCATCACAATCCTCCAATGCAATACAACGCATCGCCGTGGGCACGTCTCCTCCTGAAGATATGGCACTAGACCTCGGACTACCTTGCTCATCATCCGGTTCACCTCCACTGTCATGCGATGGGAATTCCGCATGCACCTCAAAAACCTCTGCTGTTGCTTGCGCCACTTGGAAAGCCTGTCTATCTGAAGACCTGATGTCAAAAGCTGCAGCTTTCGCCAGAGGAGTTATAGGATAACCCATGCGTGGCAAGCCAACTGAAGCTGTGTCGGAATGTGAGTGTGCGCCTTGTGCACCTTGATGGGAAGATGAAGAAGCAGCCTGACTCATCCCTGACTCCGGCCACGGATTCACTCGAGGCCTCTGCTGATGTCTCACTATTGCAATATGGCGCTCTCTCCCAGTCTCTTGTTCAATCAGCCAGATAACAAAGACTGGTCTTGCAACATCATCCTCAAACATTATCTGGACCACATCACATCGCAACATGTCTACACCCTCTACTACAGGAATCACTCCCCTCTCATCTTCATCAAGCTGGTCATGCAAGATGGTCCACCAGATGGGCCAGTCAATCGCATTCGGATTCGTGACCTGGCGGAAAGCCCGATGGGCCTGGGCCTGGACGTGTCCGGATCTGCTCCAAACAACGTACTCCTCGAAACTGAGATCTAAAGTCCACAACGGTTCAGGTTGACGTTGTAGATTTAAAATCTCATCTGAACCATCTGATTCTGACTCCTCACTAGAAAACTCACCACGCTCAACCTCTGACCAGTCTGGAGTTTGACCATCGGCGCGCATGGGAATCCCTGAAACGCTCAAGTTATCAATGTCACTGTCGCTGGTATCTCCCTCTGCCCTTCTTGCCATAGAAGCCCGTGCTCCAGTTGAACAAGAAACTGCTGGAGTGTACGCTGCACCAACTAAAGCTGGAACATCATCATCATCTGCTTTCGCTGCTGCTGCTGTTGATGATGCTGCTGCCTTAGCTGCTGCCTTCGCTGCTGCTTTAGCTGCTGCCTTTGCAGCTGCTGCCGTTTTTTTCTCGGCCTTGGCTTTCACCTTGGCCTCCGCCACGGCATTGGCATCAGCCTTGGGAGCTGGCGGGACCTTTGGCTCAGGCTTGGTAACCTGACCACCCTTTCCAGGCTTTCCCCCATCTTTTCCATCCTTGCCCTTTGCACCCTTTCCCTTCTGGTCTCCACCACTCGATTTCTCATGTCGAAATGTGCATGCGCTGCCCTTCAAACAGCCTCGAGCCGTATTAAAGTATGCGCAAAGCGGCCTTGTACCCTTTCCCTCCACCTGGTTAGCTGAGGGGATAGAGTACTCATCCCCACCATCACTCCTCGATGCCGATCGTGGTTTGCCTGCCTCTTCAGCTTGAAGCTTCATAGCCTCGGCCTCCAACACTTTCATGTACACTTCCACCCCCTCTGGGGTAGGGATCTGGATGTTGGACTGAAGACGCATGATTCCCAACCGTACACTGAGAGCTTGATGTTTCTTCTCAAGTGGCTTAACCATCAGATCAAGAGCTGCAATTGATTCATGTGCTGCCAAGGCTGGGATAGCAAGATGTGCAGCCCTCTGCATTGCTAGACGATACCTCCGCAAAGTGGCAGTCAATTCTTCACCATGGTTTGCAACAGGTGGCGTACGCAAATATTGCAACAATGAGTTCTTTTCTCGGATCCCTCCAGGCGTCATCTGCTCATAGATGGATTCCAAAAGCACTATAGTAGATATACCATCCTGGGTATTGCCCCGCTCAAGCGCATGTGTCTTTATCTTGTTCGGAAGCAACTTCAAAAGTGTAAGAGACAGCCTAGTCTCAAATTCCTTGTCAACTGACTGTGCCGCCGGCACCGGATCACTGAAGCCTTGCTCCATCCTCTTCTCATATCTACGCTGTCCCTCATCAAGTCTCCTCCTGAAGAAATCAGCGAAGTTGGGATGGATAGCTTCTGCAACCGCTGCCACTTCGGTGGTCCACTGCCTGAAATGCACGCCTTGTTCCCATGCTTCCGATGCATTGCTGTTCAACTTTGGCATGTCTTTCAAGAGCTTCCAAGCTGACGATGATACTTCAGTTTGCTTCCTCGCGCTCTTTGGCAACCCAGGTGGTGATGATTCAAGATGAGTCTGCCTAGCTGACGGTCCAAAGCTAAGACTACTCAGCGGTGCATTGTCTTCGTCATCATCATACCAACCCATGTCCACTTGCTCCGAACTTAAATCCTTCCCAGCTTCTGGAGTCATGTTGTACCTTTCTGGCCTCGAGGATCCAATAATCCGGGGCGTAGTGGGCTCGGCTGATGACTGCTGGCTCACTTTGTCTGCAAACATAGGAGCAGGCTGACGTGGTGCGTTGGCCTGTTCCCTCACCCGACCATCGTTCAAGTGTACAGACAGCAAATCCAACTGTTTGCTTATCTCATCATAGCGCTGCTGAAGTGTACTAGTGGTTCTCTCATAAGCCACCATGCTCTCCAACACGCTCATAGTCTTCTTGGCCTCGGCCTCATGACTTGCTAACGAAGCTTCCAGACTACTCCGAAGTTTATCCTGCTCCACTTGCAAATCCATGAGGCGTCGTGACCAATCAAGACCATCATTCTTTGACATACACTCTTCAAGCACATACTGCTTAAGAGATTCATGAATCATGTCGTCGTCTCGACTGCCTTGCCTGGTCTCAAGCGATGCAAGAGTCACCTTCATCGAGGCAACCTCACTCCTCAATGCGTCCACTGATTCGCTTGATCCATACAAAGCTTTCACATCTCGTTCTATGGCCTCCAAACGAGCCCCCATCGTTGACTCGAATGTAACCTGACTTCGTGATACTTGGGCTACAACCCTTTCCAACTGCTGAATATGATTCGCCATGTCCTTAACCACGCCATCGGCTGATGTCAAGGATGCCTCTTGCGTCTGGGCAGCATATAGCAAGCTGGAAGTCTGTAACTTGACACTCTCCAAGTCACCCGTCAAGCTGGAAACACACGCAGCCAATCGCTGAGTACGGGCTTCAAGTTCTAATGCCACCTGATGCACATTAGCCTGGATGTCCTGAGCTGACGTTGCATCGTTGTTGACTGCATGATTGGCCTGAATCAGCTGAAAGATTTCTGCTGGGGCTTGGATCTGCAACATCTGCTGTAGCCTCATCTGCACCATCTCTTGTGTTGCTGGAGCTACTGACGCTGCTGCAGTTGTTGCTGAGTGCTCGTTAAGCATAATTGGGCTACTCATAACCTGTGATTGTGGGTTGACTTGATCAGGGCTCTGAGTGTCGGTGACGATGCTGAATGTCGGACTTGTCTGCAGCTGCTGCTGTTGCTGCTGCTGCTGTTGAAGTCTGGTTCTGATCTGAAAGGGAACATCATCAAGAGAGGAGTATGGGGATGACATCCCCAACACCCCTTTTCATCAACCCCTAACCCTCAACACCCAAGTACACTTCTCGATTTCTTTCGCTGTCATCTTGAGCCACGCACGGTGGCCATGCTAATCTTCTGGTATCGTTCCTGCCAAAAGCAAGGTGTCATCCTTGCGCAGGGGTTATGCAGACGCTCTGCTGCACAATCTTCAACTGATCTCGCACAGCTACTACAGATGCAAACACAGAACTACTTTGGGGCCTCTGGGCAATCCCCACCAGTCGAAGCCTTTTCGTTCGCTTCAGGGCATACCAGGACCCCTGGCCGGAGCTCTTACACAAACCGATTTCCGGACAAGTCGTTCGGCGGATACGTGCCTTAATCTCAACTCGAGAAGCGTTTCAGTAGTGAGTATGCTTTATTAGTGCATTCAGTGCCAGTGTTTTCTCTCAAGCCTTATAAACCCTCAGCGCGAGACCATCTGGCGCCATGAGTACAGCGATGTGGGGACTGCTTTGCTTGGGCATCGCCTGTGGCCCCAACACCCTGAACCTTAGACCCTAAAGACCTACCGCCCCTAAACACTCAACCCGATACACCCTCAACCTTGAACCATGGAACCGCGCAAACCTACGATGCGCTTGCAGGGCCCAACATCCCTCAGCCTCGAGCGTAGCAAGGGTACTAGTAGTTTAAGATTCAGGGTGCGAGCTACCACCCCGCATCAGCTCGAACCACGTCTCTTCTGAAGCGTTATTGCCTCGAGCTGCTACGCATGACAGAGCAGGGTAGGCCGTATCAAAGTTTCCAAACACACAAGTTAACCCAGAAGTACTTGCCCAGACGACTTGGTTCCAATAACCTACGAGCTTTCATGTTTCGTCAATAACCCGCGAAGATCGCCTTCCAATTGTTTTTTCACTCATGTTCATTCTGTAAAGCTTGGTGCAGTGAAACAACGCCACGGGTCTCTCCCGACATGGGAGTCCTGCATGTTTGAGGATGCGGACGCTCTCGACAAGCACTCCGGGTTCGCGTTTGGCTTGTTCCCGTCAAGGGTGCCATCATGAGGGCAAGTACCGGTATGTGTGTCGTCAGCAAGAATGCCCTGGCAGACATGGACATTTGCCCGACGGCACACCAATCAGAGCTCCAGTGACTCTGATACTGTGCAAGCTTCACCGGAACGGGAGTTGTCCCGGCTGCAGGCAAGTCATGGCACCTAGTGACATAGCAATAATGACGGACGAGATCTGCAGCCTGACTACCGAGACCAGCGATGCAGACATACACCTCGACGAAGAGCATGCAGCTTCGTTTTCTGCAAAAGCTCAAGACTTGCTGTTGCTGTGGCAGAAAGGCTCTGATTTTGAATTTGAAGCGAACCGCCTCTGTGGCAACCTCAACGAGATGTGGAGGAAGTGCTTCGATGCACTCCATCTTCCAGGGATCCAAAGAGTCTCGCCAATGCCCCAGCAGCTGTGTGAGGTCTTTGTGGTTGCCTGGGGCCTGTCTTCGGATGTTGTGTGGGTGCAAGAAGCTTGCGAATCCGAGCTGGTTGTAAAGGTCTTGGGTCTTCTCCAGCAGCCGACGGCCCTCGAACCTTTCTTCTGTGGTTCCAAGCGCTTTCTTCCGGCAGATCTCGGCCTGCTGGTGATTGAAGGGCTTGCGAGCAACGAGGGATGTCGCAAGCAGGCCTATGACCAGGATGTTTTCGGGCGGACAAAGAGCCTACTATTCGATTCTCAAGACTCAACTCACCCAACAACTGAAGAAAGGCACGGCCTTGCTCTTACAGCCTTGCTATTAGTCACCAAATTTCTCCACGAAGACCCAAGTTGCGGACAATCTGTCAAACGAGCAGAAGTCTTGGATTGCATCATTTCGATTCTAGGCAGAGCGGGTAGAATGAAGGTTTCGGAGTTGTTCTTGGCGAGGGTTGGCCGACCCTTGCACCTGTGGCAAGATGACCCTGCTTCTGAGGAGCATGTGCTTGTTCTTGCTCGGTTTTCCGACCCTGAGTTTCTGCAGTCTCCATCTTCGGATTTCCTAGCGCTGATTCGCAAGCTGGCCGCGGATCAAGATTTTGTTCAAAAAGCTCTCCAACCCGAGTACAAATTCGTCAGAGCCATGTTGAGCATCCTTGGTGGGCGTGGAGGTTCTGAGGCTTCAGCTGCAGCATTGCACTGCCTGGCCAACACAGCATTGAACCTTTCTCCTCATGACGTGTATGGTCCCGGCCAGTTCGATCAGAGCAAGCATTCATGCTCTGTTGTGTTTATGAAGTGGCTTGCGCGCACACGCTGGCAGAAGTTTTGCAAGGAGTTGTTGCGTGGCGAAGAGCATCTCTGTCGCTTGCTGCATAAGCTTAAATGCAACTCTTCGCATATGCTGGAACACTCCGTGCTGCTTCTGGCTGCTCTCATGTTCCACGATGAATCTGGGCTCCTGGAGGACAAGTATTGGGATGCAGGATTGTTCCACAAGGCTCGCCTTGCCTTGGGAGCAGTGCCGTGGATGTCAACAGCTCAATCTGCGAGTAGTCTTGGCCCCGGTATATCCACGGACTACTGGGAACAAAAGTTCCAGGAGTTCAAGTGAAGTTCTGTAGGCCAGCCGCCACAACCTAGGATGAACGGGCGGAGGATGTCGGATGTGCTCTCTGCGGGCAGACTTTGACGGTTTCAGCGCAGTGCTGCAGCACTGGTACTGCCCGAGGCCGCTTGCAGGGTTCAGGGTTTGAGCTTGACTCTCCTTGAAGGCCAACGATCAGTATCCCTACACCCTAAACTCCTAAACACTACAAACCCTAAAGCGCCGGGATAGGAGTACCCAGTTACACCCACAAGTCCATTACCCGCACGACAAACCCGTTATTCCTTAATCCCCTTCACCCTCCTCAACCCCAAACCACATCCCCCAACCCCATTCCAAGATGCCCTGAATAGCCGTTTATTCCTGAGCAATGATTAAACCATAAAGCTCTTCATGCAGCGGTATACCCTTTTATGGGGGTCTGTGTTTTCCAGAGCAGATGGTGCACGGGGAAAGCCTCCAATTACCCGTCCCGGGTAAATCTTCGGCCTTTTAAACTTTAGCTGTGACCCTCACCTATACCCATAGGCTCCATAGTGGTTCCTTGTTGGGATTACATACTTTATAGGATTCTGAATATGAACCACAAAGAGGAACAACCAAAACCTACAAAACAAATTCAAATCCGTGAGCAGAAGACCGCACACCTCCGAGGCCCAAGGGGACCGGCCTTGTGGTTGCATCGATGTGGGTGGCTCGGCTGCGAAAGACCCCATGGAAAAGGTGGCACCTGGGGCTTCAATACACATGTCGTCATAAAATGCCTGATCGAAGTGGAAAACCAGAATATAAATCCCTCGCGACCTTAAACCATAAGCCCCTAAACCCTAAACCCCTAAACCCTACATATACCCTAAACCACAAGCCCTAAAGCCTAAACCGTAGCAGCTGCGAACTTCCATGTTCCTGATACCAGGTTACCGATTTCTTGTCACTACGACCGGGTCGGATAATGTACTATAGGGACTACAAGTTTTAGAGTCAGGTTTCGGGGTCTCCAAAATAGTATAGGTAATTTCGAAGACCCCTACATTGCTGGCCTGATCAGCTGTCAACGTTACTTCGAGTTCCTTAACATAGCTGTACTTCCAAATTCTTCCAAAACCCTAGTCTAAATATTGAAGGCCAGCTACTACAACCTTTATTTTACCAGTAGCAACTCGTATAGAATCCGTAGAGGGATCCTTAAAGGAAGCCTATTCTAATTATGAGGGCCTGTTGTATTACCTTGCTTCAAGTTGGGGCCTCGAGCTGCAAAACCCCAAACCTTGCGTCACTCTACTTGGGATGGATATTTGTGTATCTTACTGTTGAAAGGGATGTCATCCACAGCAACTCTTTTTGCTTGTTTGGGAACAGGGCTTGCTAGGGCCAATATGTTGAATTCTGAGCCCTAGGGCCCTAGGGTTTCTCATCAGGAATTTCGTGTCCTAGCATCAAGAAACATCTGCGTGACGGCTTGCTTTGGGAGGTCTTTGCGGCGCTCATATGGGTGTACCTCTACATGGTGTACGTTCAGCAGGTCCTTCCAGGCCGTGTCGTCAGTTATCCTTAGCTCCAGCTTCTTCGACCTGCATGTTCGAAACTTTCCCGATGCCGTTTCTTGATGCCTTGATCTTCTACCCCGCACAGAAGAAGTTTTAGCCGACTCAGCTTGCCAGGCCAAGGGTCTTTGTCTGAAAAAACACCTATAGGCAAACCACAAAATTGCACGAGGATCCGAAGGAGTGCCTTCAAGCATGAAGCCTCAAAAGCCCACTCTAGGGTGTAATTGCTAGAGCTTTCGGATGATAGCGCTTAGCAGATTATTTAAGATTTAGAGTTTACAGGCTTCAGAAACTGTTGTGGTTAGGCCTTCTGGATTTGGCGCTTGGTTCTGGCAGAAGGCGCTTGCGTACAGGCGAGTTCAATTATTGCGGTGTGGGGTGGGGGTTACATCATTCATCAGGCTGATACAACACATGGGAGTTTCCGAAAATAGGGGGCCCTATTAATATGCTACCCTAAAAAGTCGGATCCTTGTTGTAAGGACCCCGAAGTAAGATACCCCTAATTTTCGGAAACTCCCACATGCCGCATTCGCCAACCAGCCAGCTCTCATATCTGCCTTCAGAACTTCATGCATGTAACAGATGCAAAAACGAGTTGGTTACATGACTCCATCGGACGTAGCTTAGTAGTAGAGGTCTCCTATTCATACGTGCCACAGAGCCAAGCCAGGCTACAACCCTCAACCCTAGAACCCTAAAGCCCTAAAGCCCTATAAAACCCTAAACCCTGATACCCACCCTAAGACCCTAAAACCCTCAAACCCTAAACCCCTAAACCCTAAAACCCTAAAACCCTCAAAACCCTAAACCGCTAAGCCCCTAAACCCCCCTAAGCCAGGCTACAACTGGGATGTGCGGCCGGTCTGCCGCGCCAATCCGGAAGTTTTCGCCCAAGAAACATTTGGCCCGGGGACCCAGGGTCGCCAGGGCTCCTTTATCTTGGTGGGTACCGTAGGGTCCCTTTAAAGGGTAAGTATAAGGGTACTACAAGGGTTCCTTTCAATTAGCCCGGGGACCTGGAGTCGGGAGGGCTCAGGGATGGGGTCTGCGGAGTTTAGGGTTTGGGGTTTACGGGGTTTTTGGGATTCAGGGTTTAGGGTCTTGGGTTTAGAGTGTGGGGATTCAGGGTTTAGGGTCTCGGGTTTAGGGGTTAGGGTTTATAGGAGTAGGATTTAGGGTTTAGGGTTAGGATCTGGGGTTTAGGGATTAGGGTTTAGGGTGTGGGGTTTAGGGTTGAAACACTTAAGGGGTGTGGGGTTTAGGGCTTGGGGATGGGGATGGGGAGGGAGTTTGTGGCTGATCACCTTACCGTCTGTGGTCCCCGGGTTGGGACTTGGTGTTGATGCTTTAAGCTTCAAGTCCGGAGTTCAGGGTTTGGGCTTGGGGCTTTTGGGCTTTTGGGCTTTAGGGTTTTGGGTTTAGGGTTCAGGGTTTAGGGTTTTGGGTTCGCAGAGATGCTCAGAACGTGAACTGAGAGTAAGCAGTAGCAATCGTCGTCGTGGCCGTCGTCTTATCGCACGAGGAGTATTGGTTGTTTCTTGGTTGATGTCTTGATGGTTCCAACAGCACACAGCTGGAAGGATACTAGAAACACCCGAAATCCGAAGCCACGTTTGATTCGCAGCACGAGAATGTTAAATCGAGGATCATGAGGCCTAGTAAGTAAGGTTATAAGCAGCTTAACGGGGATTGCAACCTAGAAGTAATCATGAGGACGGAGTGCATACCGTAGTCGTTTGTTGCCCACGAGCTTGTAGCATCGGCTCGACAGACAGAGTTTTGGTCAGGGTTACATATCCAGGATTCGGCAAACCGTCCTTCTTTTGGGAATTTTAGGCGAAGCGGCCATCGGATAGTAATGCCGACGATGAGTAACCCACCTGTAACCTTAATAAGTTTGTGTTTCAGAGCCATCGCTTCTCGAAGCCCTAAACCCTAAACAGTTCTCAATCCAAACGACGCCTGTTCGCAGGTTGAGGCTTTGAGCCAGCGCCTGCTCCATCCGCACTGAGCCGACTCGGGTTTAGGGCTTCTCGGGTTTAGGGTTTGGGGGTCACCTTAACCTACCAAAACCGTGTATTTTGATGTATGTTCTAGGGTCCCCATAAATCCTATACAAGGGTTCGGTTGTGGTCGTTTAGGGCATGGTTTAGGGTTAGGCTTCAGCCGTCTCGATGGCCAAATAAGCCGACTCGATCGCCAAAGTAGCTACGTCGAGCGGAAAAAGGTTTTTTGTTTGCAGTAGCGTTCCCTCTCTTTTCGTATGGTCCTACAAACTCTGTTTAAGGGTGTTTCAGTCCCTGAATAGGAAGCCGTGGACACCAATAGTCTCCAGCATTTCAACATGAAAGCTGTCGACGCCTGAAGCCCCACGTCCACAAGTCGGCTAGGCTTTTCGTCGTACCGACAAAGCCGCCCAAGACCTCTTAGTTCAGGAAGATGGCCTTGCACTATGGAGGATCCTCAAGATGACCCTCAACCCTAACCCTACACCCCAGTGATTTGAAATGAGCCCTACACCCTTAACCTTAAACCTTAACCCAACACCCCGATGATTTAGGGCTGAAGGCAAATGGGAGTTTCGTACCTTGTCTAGGGGTCCTTATAATAAGGATCCTACTATTTAGGGTACTATATTAGGGTCCCCTATTTTCGGAAACTCCCAAATTCCTCCGGGACTGTCGGCTCTCTGGCGATTTCGCTCTGCTTGGGCTTGCAGCGAAGAGCCGAGATCTGGGAAAAGCGCGGGCACCGAAGCCCCGGCAGCATGAGGGAGGCATCAGCTCCTTGGAGTCAGAGGCCAGTGGCTCTGGGTGATTTCGGGTTGGGGATTACTGGATTCCGGGTTCGGGGTTTTCTGGCGTTTTCTGTTTTTCGGTTTAGGATTCTGTTGGTGGTTTAAGCTTTTCGAATGTAGGGTCTTAAGGGTAGAAGGTGTCGGAATTAGGCGGTGTTCTGGGTTTACGTACGCTTTTGGGGTTTCCGACCACTTAATGGTCTTATACAGGAGAACGGAAGCCAAACAGAATTAAACCCTAAAGCCCCAGCCCCAGAAGCGCTAGAAACCCTAAAACATCCCTAAAACCTTAAATCCTACTCCCCAAGTTGGAGGGCCTAAAATATGTCGAAAACCCTACACCCCCAAAGCCCCAAACCCCTTAAAGGAAGCCCTTAGCCCAAAGGAGCCTTGAAGGACCCCTGAAGCGGCTGTGGGTTCAGGGAGGAAGGCTGTTCGTTTCTTCAATCCTACAAAGGCGCAAGTTTCCGATGTCAAAGGCCTCAAAAGTTGTTAACTTTTGAGGGTTTTTGGATTTAGGGTTTAGGGTTTTAGGAATGGAGGTGGAGGGTTGAGGGTTTAGGGCTTTGGGGTTGTAGGGTTCAGGGTTCTATGGGGAGGACTGTCCCAAACGCGAGACAGTCGAAAGGCACCTACCTTATGTGGATGTCTTGCAGCAC